TACTCACTTACCTTGCGATTATTTTCCTTTTTACATAGTTCACATCGGCCTTGATTTGGCTGAGATCTGCATCATTTTATTTCTCAAAAAAAATTCCGGTTTTTTTTGTCTCACACTGTATGTCACATAATCTATTAAACATATTCAAATAGAATTTATAATATTAATAATTCAAATATTAACTTAATAAGTAATTATTAATTAAAAAAAATTCAAAATATTTTTTAGTTTTATTACTTTTTAAAATCCTTATCAATTAATCAAAATAAAAAAATTTCTTTTACAAATTTGTATATTTTTTATTTTTTATTTATATTATTATTTCAATACAAATATTTAAAAAATTTTTTTATAAATTTATTTGTAAAAAAAAAAAAAAATAAATAAAATTTATAAAAACTTTTATATTATAAATAAAAGATAATTAGAAATTAAAAACTATTTAATCTGAAGTATAATTATAATAATTATAAAGGTTTAATTTTTGATAATAAAATATATTAATTTATAAGTAAAGCTAATAATTTTTCACCTTCATATATAACTTAACTACACATTAAACTGTTCAAAATAATACAAATTTTATTTTAAATTTTTTATTTTTTATTTTTTTAATATAATTTAATTGAAAATATAATTATATAATAATAAAAAAAATTTTTTTTAAATAAAATTATTTAATAAAAATTAATTAAAAAAATAGTATTTAATTTTTTAAAAAAAAAATTATCTAATAAAATTATATTAAAAATTAATAAAATTATTATAAAGTAAGTAATTTTACTATAAATTACTAATAGTGTTTATCACTGATATCACATGATTTCTTATAATGAATAATTTGTCACTCTATATCACATCTTTTACATTATTCTGAGAACTTAGAATTTTTTTGAATGTAAAATCATATTTGTCACATGTTATTTATTATATATTTAAATTTGATCAAAATTTATAATTCTAGCTATAATGCTGGCTAAAATACTTTTTTGAAAGATTAGATAATATTACACAAATTTAAAGATAATTTGATTTTGCCAAAATTTCAAATAAGATTATATAAACTTTTAAAAAAAGGAAATTCGTGATACTAGTGATAATCATCATTAGTGATAAATAGAAAACTTCTAAATATGTTATAAATTCAAAAATTAAATATGCAAAATCATAAAAAAAAAGTTGTAAAAAAATGTTAAAACCAAAAAAAAAAATATATTAAATTATAAAATAAATTATAATAAAAAAATTTCAAAAAAAAAAATAAGCAAAATTATATAATAATTTACTATAAAAAACATAAAATTATAAAAAAAACTAAAAATAAATTGTGATAAAATTGATCAAAAAATTAAAAAACCAATAAGTAATAAAAAAAATATAAAAAAGAAATTAAAATATAAAAAATAAAGAAAATCAAAGAAAAAATAATTAGTTAAATTAAGAAAATATTAATATATCTAAACTTACTATAGTAAAGTGTAAAACTAAAATTTTAAAAATCTAAAAAAAGGAATAAATAATAATTAATAAAGATAAAAAAAAAAAAACTTATCAAAATTATTATTAAAAAAAGAATAAGTATATTACAAAATATAAGTAAATAATATAGATATAAATTCAAGAAAATGTTTGTATTTACAGTTCGCGATATAAATTTCTGGAGTTTTTATTAAGTATATAAAAAAAGTATTGTCACACCAATTTCTGTCTAACGTTAATAAAATTTAAAATAGCAATTTATTAGCTATTTTTAGACGTAAATATAAATACCAAATTTTTTTGCATAACTGTTTATCAATTGCAACTCATAATAAATGGCGTCCACTTCAGTGTTTTATACAAGACAGTTAACTGTAAAAGAACTATGGTTTAATAATATACAAAAGCCCGCCAAAATAATTAAAATAACTGGGTATCCAAAGTTTATAGTATATGATATTGTCAACTATTTAAAAGAAATGGGAAATGTTGAGCATTTGCCTTATCCTGGTCGTCCTCTTCTTCTCACCTCTAATAAACGCTGATATCTTGGTCATCTTCTCCAAGTTAATAATGCAACAATTCTAGCTTTAACAAAAAAGCTGAATTCCACATATCTAGAACTTAACGTATCAACTCGAATTGTCTAACGTATCCTTAAAATAAACTTAATTATATTATTTGTCGACTACGAGCAGTTCCCTTTCTTAAGCCGAATCATATTGAAGCTCATTTTCAATGGGTCATAAACCATTGCCAAAATGATTAGTTTTATATGATATTTTCTGACGAAAGTACTTTTTAAACATTCTGCAATACCTAACTTATATGCTACAAAATTGGTAATTTACGTCCATTACGTCCTATGGTAAAACATCTGTATAAAATCTATGTTTGGGGTGCTTTCAGCTATCAAGAACCAATTGGTGTGGTATTATTTATAGGAAAGATGAATGCTGCAAAATATCGGGATATTCTTTGATCTCAATTGCTTTCTAATGCTAACTGTGTTGGTGATGAATGGTGTTTTCAACAGGATAATGCACCAACCCATACTGCGAAGCTTACCCGTCAATTTTTTGTGACAAATAATATTCTGGTGATTGATTGGACTGCTAACTCTCTTGACTTAAACCCAATCAAGAATTTGTGGGTGATTCTTAAAGGAAAAGTAGAGGAAAAGGTTAATGATTGGATTAGAAAAAAAAAATACTTAGCGTGAATGCTTTTCAAAGCATAATTCAGAGAGAATAGGAAAATCTCGATCAAAATATTTTCTTTAACTTAGCAGATAGTATGTCAGATCAGATTAGTATGGTTATAGAAAAAAATAGGTATACAATAAATTATTAATTCTTTAAATATGTTGTTTTTTATATAATAAGCAGTTGATATTATAAATTTGAAATAAAAGTAATAAAATTTGCGCTACTTTTATATGTCATGATAAATTCTGGATATTAATGTCGTAAACTGTAAATTATATAAAAATAATAATCCTCTATTATGATTAGATAATAAAATAAATATTTATAAATATTTATTATTATTATAGTTTAACTTTTAAATTTTTTTATAATATTAATAGTATTTATCAATTTAACTTTTTTTTTATTATAAAATTATTATTTGTATTATTTAAAACTTTTGATGATTATAGTTATATATTTAAATTAATAAAATTAATAGTATTAATATTATAAAAACTGATATATAAATTAAAATAAATCTATATAAATTATAAAAATAATAAAATTTATATTTTTAATGAAACTTATTCTTACATATTATTGTGCATACATTTTATTAAAAAGTTATTTGAATTAAAAACCTAAGATGTTTATAATTATAATATAATACAAAAATTGCCTAATTTTACAATTAAAAGTGCCTTTTTTTTTTATGAACATGTTAAAAAATGATAAAACAATTTATATTTGTATTAAAATTAAATAAAGAAGTATAGGATATTTTAATTAATTCAAATAATCCAAAAATTTGGAATGTAACCAGATTAATAAATGCGACTAAAATCATATTAGACTAAGATTTAAGAAAATAATCTTTTTAGATCCTAGATATAAAAAGTTATAACAAATTCTTGCCGATTAAAGATCAATTAGAGCGATAAACAAGGAGTTCCTATTGTAATAGGGTATCAAATGAACGACTTTTTTTTATAACAAATATGATCATTAGATTCGTTAAACTCATTCTATTGAATACCCTTATTCGTTGGTTCAATTACATGCAAACAACTAACTTTTTTTTCAACTGCTGTCATATAGATATAATTGGATTTCACAAAGCGTGATTTAGATTTCTTAATTAGTAAATCAAAAACTTAAAGTTCGCGATCATTCTGCGCCACAATATGTTTTATGACAAGATAATTTATATGGAAATGTCACGTCAGAATAGTTAAAGTATTTATTAATAAGTCTTAAATTTTGATCACTGGATGATGAGAAAATTAATGTTAAATCGGTCGGGTAAATCGGTCAATGACCAAAATTGACACCAAAAAAATTGACTTTTGGTAGGGAATGTACCAATGAATCAATTGATAGTGATTTTATATTCTAAATATTCAAATGTATTATTTAAAAAAAGTTTTTTACAAAACTTCCGATCAGATTTTTAATTGTTACAGGAACGAAAATGTTGTAAACCGAACATGACAAGATCGGTAATATCAGCGAACTGTTTGGCAATTAAAATATTTTAGATTCAACCACTACAAACACTAATTACGTAGCAATGGATACTATAACATACCTCTCAATAGACTCGGTTATAAAAGAATTTCAAAAGGGATAAAAACACCATTTGATTGATATCTTAACTTCATGTGACATTTGATACAGATTTTTTTACATTTACAAAGTTTTTAATGTTCGTGTTTTTGGAATTTTTTTTTTTTTTTTTTTTTTCCTTCCTTTTGTTACATTATTTTAGCCTAATAAAAACTAAAAAGTATTTGCTGTTAGCAATCACATTAAATTTATTTGCAACCGATAAAATTTGATAAAATTATAGTTATTTCTAAACATTTAAGAATTTTAATAACATTAAAAAATAAAAATTTGACTAAGACTCACAATTTTCTTTTTTTTTTTTTTTTAAAAAAAAAAAAAATTGAAACCAATCCATATATTATTATGGATGAAGATAATATTATTTCAGCCGTTGATCTCAAGAACCGTAATGTTTGAATTTAAAATAAATGAATAAAAGCGAAGTGGTAAATTAAAATCAATCCCTATTCATAAATAACTAAAAATAAAAAAAAAAAATAAAATAATTATAAAAGCGATCATCACCCCTTCATACTCCCCAAAAGATTAAAAAAAAAACTAACTATGCAATCTTTTTTTTTTTTTTTTTTTATAAGACGATTAATTAATTTTAGGCCAGTATCAAAACCAGATCCCGGCTTATCAATCACGTCTTATATTAGCAGCAAATTGTAAAAAATAAACATGTATACGACCTCCGTTGTAGTAATCGGCAAGGGGCGATCATTGATAGTATTCTCCACTGAATTTTTTCATCAATTCATTACCAGAATTTACTGAGAGATACTTGAATTTTTTTTCAACTTCATCCGTTTCATCAGACGTGATAGAAGAGTAAACATTATCCCTTAACTCCATACTGGCAGAAGCTTGTTGGCGGGTTGAACGATGATAAAATTGTTGAGAATGTGAAGAAATTCCAAACATTCCACTAGAATTGGTGGTTTCAGTGGTAATAATATCGGCAAACGATTGACTTTCTTGAATAGATTGCAATGAATAATCACTTAACCTTTCAGAAATTATCATTGGACTGGATGATAAAAAACGTGACATGCTACTATTTATTCCTTCCTTCTTCACCAGAGAATTTGATGTATCGATGTCCATATTGATGGCAGCCTTCAGTTGCATGTGAAATTGTTTCGCTGCGGTCCTGTTATTCGGTATTTTCCTGGGTTTTTTAATTGCACGCTTCAACCTGGAACTTTTCTTCTTTTGTAGTTTTGATAAAGCTTTATCAAATGGTTGATCCACATCTTCATCGATATCCATAGAAGGGTAAGGGTATGATCGGCTTCGCATCTTACGACGACCTTTGGTAAGTAATTTCTTGCTTTTACCCGGTGACCTTAAAGAAGTGGGAAGGTTTGAAGCTGCGTATACCGTCCAATACATCACTTCTTCTGTTCCTTTTTTTTTTTAAAAAAAAAAAAGAAAACCAAATTAATGTTTTGTAAATACAGACCATAGAAAGAAAAAAAGATTATTTGAATGATCAAGTTTGATTACCTTCTAAAGCACGTAACACCACATACTCGGAACCAACTCTTAACCCGCCAGAACTCGTAATACGATGAACGACTTCTTTGGCCATAGGTAAATGTAAATGAACGTAACCTATAGTATCGTCTCTTTGATAATCGACTGTGACCTTTAAACCATTATCCTCAAATGCTTTCTAAAGTAAGAAAGAAAGTTCTAAATTAAGAACCTTCAAAAACATTCTTGTGGATAAACAAAAACAAAAAAATTAAAAAAAAAAGTTTACCCTTATTCTTCCTTGAGTTGAATTCGGGTCAAGGCCTTGTAACATTATTACTCTGTTAGAAGAATCGCATGTTGATCTTTCACCATATTTTTGTGCGGCGGTGCTCGATTCTCCATTCTTTGGTGGCCAACAGTCTATTTTGTTCATATTGTTGTCTCTTAATCCGAAAATAATCGGTAAAGTGTAAAGGGAAAAAAAAGAAATTTTGTGGCAAAAGTGTGTAACGGGTAGAGCGTGTGATTGCTGATTTTATAAATTTTCATGCAAATTATTTGTAATACTTTTAATAGAAAGGGTTTTCGAGCTCTTGACCCAAACACACTCCCCCTTGTAAAAGGAACACTTTCTATTTATGGTATACAATCCTGGGTATGACCCGAATAATTCCCGGGAATTACGAAAATCAATTCCATTTATGGAAGCTTTCCCGGGGGTGTAATTATTTAAGCACATGGCTCGTGCGCAGTAAAATCACGTGATAAATCCTTTTTTTGATCGGACCTTTTTTTTTAACGAAAACCACCGACTATCAAAAATTTAGTGACTTCTATATACGTGTGTGTATTTCTTTTTTTTTTTTTTTATTCCTTTTTTTATTCCCTTTTTTTTTTTATTCCTTTTTTATTCCTTTTTTTTTTTTTTAAAAAAAAAATGCTTCATTAAAAAAAAGGTCGATGTCAGAGAAAATTTAAATTTGTGATTCTAATAATAAATAATTTCCTCATTTTTTAACTTTTTCTATTTTTATATGTCTAACGTGGCGGGAAAAATCAATCGTTGTGAAACATAAACATACAATCATCTTTTCCCAAGTGATTACTCACAATGACTATAATGAATTACACTTGACTTATTAGGCATTACCATTTGTTCGAAATGGCATATCAAAAATCAATTCGTTATATCAAAAAATTACGAGTTTTTAAAAAAAAAATACAGGATTTATCGGTATTGTCAAGGTTAGACTGTATCACAGTGATGTGCTCTTGGAAGATTGGAAACATTATTAGAAACACCTATTAGCTTAAATTGCACATCACTGCGCTTTATCGTAATAATAATATTTATATTATAAGATCCCCGTCATTTATTTGCAATGTATATACAAAAAAAAAAAATTAAGCAATTGAAAAGAGATATTGAATAAAATTTATAAGCAGTTCAATTTGTAATTTACTTTAATAAATTATGATTATTCTATCCAAGGAAATAAACTACGTAAAGAACAAAATAAGAACGATGAATTTTGTTCTTTCCATTCCATTCAAATTAATTAAAAATTAGAATTAATATTTAAAAAAATATATATATATATATTTATATAGTGAAAGGGTGTTGTTATTAACAATTATAGATTCCACACTAAAAATTTATATTTTTTTCTTATCACTCCGCAAATAAATGAGAACCTATAACTTTGTACAAATTTCGACTTTGTGAGGGAATTTATGCCAACTTGTTACAAACAAAAAAAAAAAAAAAAAGATAGAAAACTCTATGTTATTGAATTAATGAATGCAAGATAATGATGGTTTAAGGTATTTTTTTTTTTATCATTGAATTCTCAAAAGGCAGAGATTCAGTGAACAAAAAAAAAGAGAGTATTAATGTTCCTCCACAAATTATCGCTTTAATCAACGATTTCGAACCTGATACAATCATCAGTAGCTCCTCTTTGGGCCTTACTATTTAGGATAAAAAAGTAAAATAAAAATATTAGTGAAAACACTTTTTTCAATAAAAGTAAAGAATAAAAAGATCAATATACATACGCTATGATTTTGAAATATTGTATCGAATTAAATGTAGATAAAAAAAAAAAAAAAAGAGGCATAATAATTAGTATAAATAAAAAAAAATAAAAATCAAATATCATCAAATATGACATAAAATACATACGCTAATTATATTAAATTTTTTTTTTTTAAAAAAAAAGAAAAAGTATTAGAAAAATAACAAAAAAAAAAAAAGAAACCTCAAGAATTTTTGGAGGAAGTATACATACCAATACAACACCTTGATGACTGTTGGATGAGCAGATGGTGCACATTCTGTATAATCCTGTTTTTGGTAAACCAAGTTCGACAAGGGTTTCCAACTTTCCAGTCTTTGATGGATCGTTAAGACCTTTGAAGAAACTAAATATAGTAGGTTCTGGTGGTGTATTGTTATCCTTATTACCGAGGAATTGGATGGTAACATGTTGATGTCCTTTGATTTGACCTTTATCGTTTAATGCTTGTGGGAGGGCATTATATAGAGAATTTGGATCACTGAAAAATCCAAAATCAACTTTCGTGGTATGAACTAGAACTTCGAATGCTTTGTTCTTCTGAATTTTTTCACCATTCTTTGGGGAAAGAATAAGGGTCGATGGCATATTTTCAAGTTTTGGAATTTCTCCTAGTGGTGTGTTGGAGCAAATACCAGTAAGGATTTGTTGTCCATTAGCTTGTGTTAATTGGCCGGCTCTTGAACCTCCTTTTTTGAATTTTGAGCAATAATCTTGTGGCAAATTCTTTACAATAGCTTCTGGAGTTGGGTCAAATGCAAGTTCAGAAGTCTCCTTTGCCTTCCTATCTACTTGATTTTTACAAGATTTAAGTTTACTTTGTTCTTTTTTCAAATCATTTCGACATTTTTTCAAGGAACTGTTACTTGCGGCATCAGCGCCAAAAATGGTAAGGGCGAAAAGAACAAAAGCTAAGATTGCAACGATATTCTTCATTTTGAATGATGAAAATGTGAGAGGAAAATAGGAAATATTGTAAAGGAAAGGGAGGGAATGGATGAGTAAGGTAAAGGAAAGTGCTTAGACGATGCTAAGATTTATTTTTTTTTGTTTTGTTGGCAAAAAACGGTATTGAGAGGACTGCAGAAAAGACAGGATGAAATTCTCCCACTTATATATATTTAAAAAAAAATACGAAATTGCATTTTTCTTTATATTACATATTTCCTTATTCCGACAATTACATATTTGTTGATGCACATGGGTTGTGCTTATGTGGTGTTCCGCTGCACCTTTTAAATTGTACACAATAGTTTGAGCGAATTATTAAATGATGAGCTTGAATTGATTCTAAACAAAGTAACTCTATTCGTACTTAATAATATATTAAAGGTTTCTCATTATTTTGAAATGATTTTTCTACGTTCCTTGTTATGTACAAACATATAAACAAGACTTCACGATTTATATTAAAGGGAAAACAGTTGAACATAATGCCCGAAACTTTACCACTAAAGGTAATATTATTGCATAAAAATTGTTGAGGTCCTTCAATTTCCGCTCTAATGATTAATTTACCCGCAGGAACAACCTTAACCAATGAAAATAATCTATTCTATAAATATTCGATCCTAATCTATCAAAAAAATAAACTTTAGCGGTGATATATTATTAGAATGATGTAGTTGGTGATGCACAATCAAAAATTAATAGAAATACAGTAAATCATACGTTTAATTAAAATAAACAAATACGCAAATGAAACGAACTAATAATATTCCAGTTTGGAATTTACCAATTAATTAAATTCATTTTTAAGACGTATTCCCCGTTAATAACTCACTGGCCAGTTCCTTTCTTTTTGATTTATATGTTATACAAGCTTATAATTTTACGCGTGATCAACATTGGTATTGTACTTGAATTTTGGAAAATTTTAATGGGTGTTATTAATTAACTTTAAGAATTATGAGGGGTCAGATACTTATGACCGCTTCTGTAGTATTAGTTTATATATGATTATCTATTTCAGAAATAAATGTTGAATGCAGTTTTTCTAATTAGAATTTTCATTTAAAAATTAAATATTATTTTAAATATTTGAAAGTTTTCAGAAATTAAAATTGATTTCAAATATTAAAAATCAATTTCATTTATTTTTTTATTTTTTAATTGATTTTTTAATTAGGTAATTGTAAATTTTTTTTTAATTTTTGGTTATTAATTTTTGATTTATTTTTGATTAGAGATTAAAACTGAATTTATATTTTAAATCTAAATTAAATATAATAAATTCAGATTTTTTTATTTCATTTAGATATAATAAATTTAGTTTCTTTATTTATCTAAATATAATAATTTTAGTTTTTTTAATCAATTCAATTAATTTAAATAATGATTTTTAACTTTAAATACTATTCTAATCATAAAATTTCACAAAATTTGCATTGTAAATCTTAATAAATTAATTTTTTCAAAAAATGTTGATATTTTTTCATAATAAATTTAAATTCAAATAAAATAAAAAATTTTTTATTTTATATAAACCTTAAATTTAAATATAAACTTTTAAAAAATAGTTATTCTTTTGACTTTTTTCTCGAGTTATAATATCTGATACTGTATCTACACTTATACGTTTATCTATAAGTACTATTAATAAATGTAAAAAACAATTTAAGTATTATATTTTAGATAATGATAGGCTATTAAAAAGAAGCAACAGAAGTTATACTTTCTATTTCTTTTACAAAGACCTAAATAAAAATAATATAGTTTATTGTATAATTTATGAATATATTAGTAAAAAATCCTATCTCTATAGCTAAAAAGTAGATTAACTTTAAATCTATCCTGTCATTTATTAGATAAGCATCAAATAACGAAATTTAATTTTTTAGAACATTTAGATGCAAATGATAAAATAAGATTATAAAAAATTCACATATACTATATAATTATATTTATAAATATTTATAATCTAAAATATTTAAATTTATATTAGTTAAAATAAGATTAAAAATAAATAATGAATTATCAATATAATAAAGCTTAATAGCAAGAATTTGCATATCTTTTAATAATTTTTATTATTAAATTATATAGCCTTTATATATTTTTAAAAATGATATTTTTTGTGAATTTATTTATGCTTATGAGCCTGAATTTGCAATTTTCTATAAAAGAATTTAATTTATGAAACATATATTTAGAGTAAAGATTAGCTTATCAATTTACTTAGAAATACAGCTACATTAATTCACTTTACTACAGATTTTAGATAGCAAAAAGCAATCATAGATATATTAAAATAATAGCAACTTAGCTTACTTCTGATTTTAACTTTTATGAGGTCTTATTTATTTGTAATTATTTAGAATATCCACATATCAGAGAGGTTATTTGTGATGAATTATATCAAATTATTGAACAATTGCATTTAACAAATATAATTATAATTATTATTGATAATGAATCAAATATGATTAAAGGTGTATGACTTCTCAATTAAACTTTATCTTCTATAAATTACAATCTTATATAGCATTTACATTACAATTATCTATAAAAGAAAGTTTAAAGTATTGTAAAAATATTCATCAGTGAATCAAAAATTTGCAAAATTTTTTTTAATTACAAAAACAGGCACAAAAATTATTACAAACATAATTTGAAATTAATAAACTTAAAATACCCTTAACTGAAGATTCTGAAGTATTAATAAGCCTTTTAGATATTTTAACTGATACTAAAATATAATAAAATTCAACATTTATTGCATGAAAATGAATTCTTGAATTACATAATACTATACGTTATATTTCAACTATATTATTATCAAAAAATGATCATATATTAAATAAAGAAGAAGAAAAATTAGAAAAATTATGCTTAACACATGAAGAAA